AAAAAAACTTTAAAAAAAAAATACCCAGATGAACTAAATTCTTTGTGATGTGTAGTGATCTCCTTTACAATATGTAATGACTTTCTATAGGAGGTATAGTGACCTAACCTACGTGCTGAGGTGTAACTTTGTGCACTGTAGTGTAGTTAAAAACAGAGCAGATCTTTGAGGTTCTGTTACCCCCCTCTCTCAACAAGAATCTATTATAAGCTTGTCAATAGATTATTTTTAAAGATAGTTATTTCCTTATGCGTTTATGGAACTTTTCATATTCAAGTTTTGTTGTTTTGTTTTATACATATCCTTAGGCCCATTCATCAGTTGAGAGAGCTGCACTGATCGGTATGGTACAAATGAAGTCTCTACCAACAGATGACCAAGGACCCCTCAGAGGATCAGAGCTAGACTCTGCCATCATTAAGGATAAGAAGCAAGGCTGGATACCTTTCTTTGTCAAATATTCATGGTTTTTATCTAAAAATAATTGATACTATTTTTTTTTGTTAAATTTATTTATGAAACCCCACTCCAAAATAAATCTTTTCGGTTCATGTTAAATTGCTAACATAGTTTTAAAACACTGTATACTTTTTTTTAAAGTACCTATCTGAGTCAAAAACCCCCCCCCCCCAACCACCACCACCACACACGCACATGCACACACACAATAAATAATAAAGTAAATGGAAAACCGTGTGCATTGTATATGTTAGTATGGGGGCCATAGACTCACCCTCACCATCCCTCCGTTGAACCCAATTATAAACATTTTAAGAAACAATTTTACACGACACTTTATGAAAGATAATTGCACAATGACATAAGAATGTTTATTATTTTATTAATTTAATTATAAGGTGAATAATTTAATCACTAAATAATTAACTGGTTAACTACCATGAGCCGCTGGGAGCGGCTCGGCGTTCGTTCCGTTATGGCCACGAGCTGCTGGTAGCGCCAATGTTGGTATCATAGTAAATAAGTAAATCGAGTCAAATATTTATATTATTCCGTTCCCTTTTCGCTCCGAGATTTTAATTTAACGACCGGATGTTTATATTTGAAACGCATGCTTTCGGCAGAATGTTTTAAAAAACGAAATAATAATTAGTTTTAATAATTCTCCCAACTAGTTACAAAATAGTACATGTTTACCGCGGCAACAAGTGACGGGTTTACTAAGGCATATAGGTGATTGGAAGTAAATATTGTTCAATTTCTGTGTTCTTTGGTGCATTTTTCTTATTATTGGATATACTTTTGGAAACCACCAAATAAAAGGCTTTAAATGATTTGGAAATTAAAAATTTATACGTAAGTTGGCACATCGATATATTTTTAATTGTTTTGCTGTTGAAAATACTAATTTAGCAATGAATAATTTCCTAACAAAACTTAACTTTACAAATGTTTTCAGCTTATATTCTGGCTAATTCAATTACCTACACAATGGTCTATTAATCATTAGAATATCTGGATAATTAAGAAAACTGCAGCGGAAATTGTACATACACCTAAAATGAAAAAAATGTGACCTAGATTTAATTCGGCCACAGCGGGTTTTTCAATCTGGTAATTAATCAGTTAACTTACTACGGTGCCACTTCAGAGTTTTAGATATAAAGCCAGTGAGTCCCACTGAAATCGCCAGAAATTAAACTTGATATTTTTAATAGTTTTTCCCCCTTAAATATTCTATTTACATTGTAGTTTTTATTATTTTAGTGAGGGGGGGGGGCGCAAAAGTGTCAAACTCCCGTTTGTAAAACTAAACACATTTTGGATGATACATCCCACCCTCTTCATCACAAATACTAAGGATCAGGCCGTTCGGGACAAATTATTTCCATAAAGGCGAGGACTGAAAGATATAAAAAATTCTTTTGTTCCCCAATCTGTACGAATTTACCGGCATGCTCCCTCTGAGAACTAATAGAGATAATTTATTATAAATGTCTTGTCTTCAAATTGTTTTATTTATGTGCTAAAGATGCATAATGCAATCAAAAAACATTTCCATTTATTTGGATCAATAAAAGAATCTTATCTTATCTTATACTAGATTGGCGAATTCATAAAGTTCTTTCACATGTTGTAATACTAGCACTGAATCAGCTCAAGTCCTTTTCATAATAAATACAACTATAATATATATTGTAAATTCACAGACTTTAAATTCCATACACACATGCATATAGTGCAGTTTGCTATCAGAGAGAAATAAAACAAAGTTCCTTACTTTTACGACAGCCACATGACTAAAACATATGTCACAAAACAGACTAGACAACATGTCATAATAAGTTTAAAAATACGTCACAAAGTCAAGCATGGGAAAAGTGTTCACTAACTAATTAAACTCTCAAAAACACATAGCCCGTAATCAAACATACTCGTATCCAGAAACAATGAACTCCCATACTCGTATCCAGACACAATGAACTCCCATACTCGTATCCAGACACAATGAACTCCCATACTCGACATATTCACCCCCCCCCCCCCCCCCCCCCNTTTAGATAGAATGAAAATGGTCTGTACCAAAGAAACCTTTAGATAGAATGAAAATGGTCTGTACCAAAGAAACCTTTAGATAGAATGAAAATGGTCTGTACCAAAGAAACCTTTAGATAGAATGAAAATGGTCTGTACCAAAGAAACCTTTAGATAGAATGAAAATGGTCTGTACCAAAGAAACCTTTAGATAGAATGAAAATGGTCTGTACCAAAGAAACCTTTAGATAGAATGAAAATGGTCTGTACCAAAGAAACCTTTAGATAGAATGAAAATGGTCTGTACCAAAGAAACCTTTAGATAGAATGAAAATGGTCTGTACCAAAGAAACCTTTAGATAGAATGAAAATGGTCTGTACCAAAGAAACCTTTAGATAGAATGAAAATGGTCTGTACCAAAGAAACCTTTAGATAGAATGAAAATGGTCTGTACCAAAGAAACCTTTAGATAGAATGAAAATGGTCTGTACCAAAAAATAAGCAGGGTAAATCTAGCAGGGTCAATATGCACCACAATCAATAAAACCAATCATTCGTACATAATTTAATTAAAAAGACTTAAAAATTCATGTTTTGACACTATATCAAAGAAATCAGAGCAAAGCATTTCAACAATAACAATTTCTTAAGCAAAAAAATTCAACCTATAAAACTAATTCTCATGAATCTCCCCATATGAGGGCATTTACATCAATATCATTAATGTGTTTTTAAAAAATGATTGACCGTCATTAGAAAAACACAAAATAGTTAACATTATTACAGGTTGCAATCATTAATGAGCTCCCATACTTGACAGACAGCAATTTGCAAACTTTTTAAATTTCTATCACACAAGAAACACTTGTTATAACAAGATGAATGCACTTTCCCCCTTTTTCAACAAATCCAGTCACAATATAGTTTGCTCACCGGTCAGCTGATATTGCCTTTTTACTCTCCTTTCTTTATATCATGATTAAAAAATGATTCAAAAACAGGTCTAATGCTGTACATAGTAAATCTTGACACTTAATATTGTAGTCTATATAGACAGTAAATCTTGACAGTTAATATTGTAGTCTATATAGACAGTTAATCTTGACACTTAATATTGTAGTCTATATAGACAGTAAATCTTGACACTTAATATTGTAGTCTATATAGACAGTAAATCTTGACACTTAATATTGTAGTCTATATAGACAGTTAATCTTGACACTTAATATTGTAGTCTATATAGACAGTTAATCTTGACACTTAATATTGTAGTCTATATAGACAGTAAATCTTGACAGTTAATATTGTAGTCTATATAGACAGTTAATCTTGACATTTAATATTGTAGTCTATATAGATAGTAAATCTTGACACTTAATATTGTAGTCTATATAGACAGTTAATCTTGACACTTAATATTGTAGTCTATATAGACAGTTAATCTTGACACTTAATATTGTAGTCTATATAGACAGTAAATCTTGACAGTTAATATTGTAGTCTATATAGACAGTTAATCTTGACACTTAATATTGTAGTCTATATAGACAGTAAATCTTGACACTTAATATTGTAGTCTATATAGACAGTAAATCTTGACACTTAATATTGTAGTCTATATAGACAGTAAATCTTGACACTTAATATTGTAGTCTATATAGACAGTAAATCTTGACACTTAATATTGTAGTCTATATAGACAGTAAATCTTGACACTTAATATTGTAGTCTATATAGACAGTAAATCTTGACACTTAATATTGTAGTCTATATAGACAGTAAATCTTGACAGTTAATATTGACTATCACTCAAATTGAGACTTTTTTTCTTCTCTACTTGGCTCCTTTTGTTACACCCAATATTTCTATTTCACTGGGTCAGAATAAAAGATTAAACTTGAAAACACTGAATTCTTAGTTCCACCATCTCATAATAATGGGTAGTAATTGATGGTCAAAAAATAAAATTAAGCCTTCAACCTAAAATGCCTTAAAGAAGATTCATACACATGTGTGATGGCATTCTGAGATGGAGTGGATAAGCAAGCAAGAAATATTTATTACAAAATATATTTATCAATTATTTTTCTTAAGTTTTCCTAAGACTAAAAAATTAATAATCACGTCTGACAACATATAAAACTTTCATATTACATATTCATAATGCATTTTAATTTAATATTGATTATATAAGCTATATCATAATCATAGATACGTTTTATATATAATAATAATACACATTTAGTAAAATGTTGGTCAAGAAAGGTTTTCATAAAATATTTTATTTAACTTCTTTAAAAACAAGATATTTTCCCTAACCTCCAGAGCCCATCATCGACATAGATCTTAAAATATCCAGTTTTATTTCCACAAATTTGTTGTGTGTCAGACTGTTGACATCTCTCACAAAAACTGTTGATGACTTAATCACTTGTATTAAGATTTCACTAAATATTTCATCATGTCAGTCTACAGCCCTCATCGTCGCTGGTTTATCTTGCAGGTTAGAGACAAGACTAAACTCTCACTAAGGAGATTAAAGATGGAGAAAGTGGAGGGCGGCTCCCTTGTGTTGGAGAATGAACAGCACCAACAGCGGTACGAGAAATGTCTTGATGAGATAGTCATTCAAGTGGTTGTTTCTGATGTATGTAGACCTACTTCTTGGTTTAATACATTTAATAAAATGTATGATCTATTTATTGCTTATAATATCCTCCTAAATAATGTTCCTCGAGGTGTCTGGCACCAAGCATTTTTTGACAATTGGTTTAACTTAATTCCCCTACAAGCTACACTTTGGAAGGATGGCTTAGCTTCTCTTGGGACCGTACCTTTGGAAGGATGGCATAGCTTCTCTTGGGACCGTACCTTTGGAAGGATGGCATAGCTTCTCTTGGGACCGTACCTTTGGAAGGATGGCATAGCTTCTCTTGGGACCATACCATTGGAAGGATGGCATAGCTTCTCTTGTGACCGTACCTTTGGAAGGATGGCATAGCTTCTCTTGGGACCGTACCTTTGGAAGGATGGCATAGCTTCTCTTGGGACCGTACGTTTGGAAGGATGGCATAGCTTCTCTTGGGACCGTACCTTTGGAAGGATGGCATAGCTTCTCTTGGGACCGTACCATTGGAAGGATGGCATAGCTTCTCTTGGGACCGTACCTTTGGAAGGATGGCATAGCTTCTCTTGGGACCGTACCTTTGGAAGGATGGCATAGCTTCTCTTGGGACCGTACCTTTGGAAGGATGGCATAGCTTCTCTTGGGATCGTACCTTTGGAAGGATGGCATAGCTTCTCTTGGGACCGTACCTTTGGAAGGATGGCATAGCTTCTCTTGGGATCGTACCATTGGAAGGATGGCATAGCTTCTCTTGGGACCGTACCTTTGGAAGGATGGCATAGCTTCTCTTGGGAAAGTACCTTTGGAAGGATGGCATAGCTTCTCTTGGGACCGTACCTTTGGAAGGATGGCATAGCTTCTCTTGGGACCGTACCTTTGGAAGGATGGCATAGCTTCTCTTGGGACCGTACCATTGGAAGGATGGCATAGCTTCTCTTGGGACCATACCTTTGGAAGGATGGCAGAGCTTCTCTTGGGACCGTACGTTCCAACAGACTGAAAGGCTGTACATTTCCTTCAGACAAGGAACTTTTAAAAAATGGCAGAGGTACCAGTCTGCTAAAAACTGGATCTTTTGATAATGTAGAATTAAAAGTGGTGAAATGGGTCAACAACATGGCTGTTACTCTGCTAAGCACATTTGCAAGCATAGAGCCAGCGAAAAAGGTTAAACTCTGAGACAGAAAGCAGAAGGTAGAAATAGAGATAGACTGTCCTTCTGTAATCAGTCTGTACAATAGTTTCATGGGTGGAGTAGACCTCCTAAATTCTCTAGTAGCCCTATATAGAAATCCAATCAGATCTAAGAAATGGTTCCACAGAATTACTTTTCATATCTTTGACCTGGCTGTTGTTCAGTCATGGTTGATTTAATGGTCAAGATTTCAAGCATGCAGTTGACCTGGCTGTTGCTCAGTCATGGTTGATTTATGGTCAATATTTCAAGCATGCAGTTGACCTGGCTGTTGTTCAGTCATGGTTGATTTAAGGGTCAATATTTCAAGCATGCAGTTGACCTGGCTGTTGTTCAGTCATGGTTGATTTATGATCAAGATTTCAAGCATGCAGGACTGCCAGAAGCAACAAAATTGTCTCTGTCAGATTTTAAAATAGAAATCGCCCTGTGCTTGATGAATCAAAACAAAGCTAAGAATCAAAGGAAACGTGGTCCACCCTCAATAGAAATTGAGCCACAGATGCAAGCAAAAAAACATAGAGGTCCCACAGCGGACGTTCCAATTTTTCCTATTCGAACTGACCATGTAGGCCACTTTCCTCTATCTTTTCCAGATAAAGGTCGTTGCAAAATGCCTGGCTGTAAGGGCTATGTAAGAGTAAAATGGGAAAAATATAATGTGCATTTGTGTCTCACACAAAAGTCCAACTGTTTCAGAAAGTTCCATCTGCCATAAAATTATTTTGTTTTTTATATAAATATTTTGTAGGACAGTCATTAAATGATTTTATAATATTTAAACTTGTTCTCCCATTTCTTCTAAAATATTTCCATTTAAAATTTGGTTTAAGTGTAAATGTTAGCAATACAGTGATTTGTTGCCATTTGGCAACATTTGAGTTATCCACCCACAAAGGTACACTTGCCATTTGGCAACATTTGAGTTATCCACCCACAAAGGTACACTTGCGATTTGGCAACATTTGAGTTATCCACCCACAAAGGTACACTTGCCATTTGGCAACATACTTACAAAAGCATTATTTAAATTTTTTAAAATCAAAAATAACTTTAGAACCTTAACTAATATCCTATTTGAGACCTGTGTTTAAAAGAACTTTTTTTTTCTTCATTTTTTAAGTATAGTGCACCATATAGTGTTTATATTTCATTAAATATTCAATTTTTCTTTGAACAAATGTACAATTTAATAAATACCGAACTTTAAGCTATGTGTTTAGAAAATAAATGAAATGGTTAATAAATTATTTATTGCAATCGTTATACCTGTATGTAAAGATTGCTTACATGTCTTAAGTGGACTCATGTGTGAAGAAGACTCTAATCTTGATCATGGACAAGAATTACCATGTTAATTCATCTTAAATTTTTAACATATTTAAATAAATAAATTTTAGATATACTTTATGTTGTTTTTTAAATCTTTATTGATATCATGAAATTTTAATTACTCCTAAATTGTTCTCTAATTTCTAGATTCAACTATAGAATAAACTTGAAGCTGCCCAAATTTGATGAACGAACACCAAACATTGTTATCAAGAGATAGATACTCACCAGCTGTGGTAAGCTACACATTTTTTTTTTTACTTTCAAGTTTTAAAGTGAATATAAATCTTTACTTGAGATAAATTATTTACACTTAAAAAACAAATTTCACGGGTAAACATAAAATTTGAAAAGGTAAACATTAATGCTTTGTCTAAACAAATTTTTCATGTAGGCTTCAATCAAAAATTGTTGACCATATAATTGTTTGCTGCACTGCTTCAAGAATTCCATAAATGTAAAATAGGTCATTACAATGAAGTTATAAACAGGCTAAACACATCTTACTATAATTGCATACCCTAAAATGTAATAATATTTGATTTAAAAACTGCAATGTCTAAATCAGAAAGACCAAGTACATGATCTTTGGAAGGACTCATTGGATTCTGAGGGACTAAGTTCATGATCATTGGAGGGACTCATTGGATTCTGAGGGACTAAGTACCTGATCATTGGAGGGACTCACTGGAGCCTGAGGGACTGAATTCATCTTGGAGTCAAGTTTAGGAGTCCATTAAAACTAAATAATTGCATTCATTACATTTGACAGTGATATTTATATTTATGTATGATTATTAGAATCGGGACACCTTAGGGCAGTGCTGTCCAACCTTTTTGAATTGGTGGGCCAAAAGAAAAATTCTACTCGGCCGCAGATGACATCTCAAAAGAATTTTTAAAAACCTATTTAAAAAATCCTTCACATAATTAATATTTCTTACATTATGCATAAATCATCATGCAATCAATAACACTATCAGATCATCAAGATTATAAAAAAAGCTAATAAAAACGGTGGCAATATTTTTATAATTTATTTGAAATGTCATTTTATTGTTTTTTTAATTTGAGGAATTTTTCAGTAACAATGGGCCACATTAGATTTTCTAAATATTCATCAGTCAAAGTGTTGAATTCTCTGGACTTAATGTAAGTCTTTTACATAGAATCCAGTTTCACTTACATAGGTCCTTTCAAAGACACGGTCAATTTTTTGTCACAACAGTTCCATAGTTTGGGGAAATTCATCAGATTAAACATACATCATTCATAATTCCTTTGGCTACTCATTCTTAGATTTGTTTATTCTAGAAGTGCCCTTCTGTCTCACAATTCCTACCTGTCTGAATTGCACTAAATACAAACACAGCTTTTATGCTACTTTCCTTTCATTGAACGTCTCATACTCTGATCTCAGAATCCCAGGTACTTGTCCCCAACATCATAACAATACAGGATGGACACCCACTCTCCCATACCTGGCTAGACTACCTGTTGATATATCATGGTCCGGTCGCCCACCGTAGTCATTTGTGACACCTTTAGAACCCCAACTCCCAAGACTTCTTGTGTCATATTGTTATTATTATTATTGTAAAAAGCACAGTTGGTGGGGCATGGATATTTTTGGGGGTGATCAAGTTGCTACACATCAAGTCACTTTTGGTTCCCTACTCATCTTTCTCAATGCCGCCATTAGTAATTATACCCCTCCCCTTTACACTCAATAGAAAAAAGGAGAAAGCAGTATCTAATGTCAAGTCTCACCATTTTCCTGGATGGTTGCTCTGCTGGTGTGAAGACAGTATCAAATTTCATGTCTCCCCATGTTACTTAATGGTTGGTCTGCTGAATTGAAGACAGTATGAAATTTCATGTTTTCCCATGTTACTGAATGGTTGCTCTGCTGATGTGAAGACAGAATGAAATTTCTTATCTCCCCATTTTACTGAATGGTTGCTTTGCTGATGTACTTAACATAAATTACTGCTGCCTGTGAGGCCCCTCTCCTTAGATTCTCTGACCTCCCCCTTTTATTTGTTACCACTTCTCCTGTGATCTCATGTCAATTCCCAACAATACTAAATCAATGAATGTCGTTTTAAAATATTTTCACTATGAAATATTTTATTTTTTACACACATCAAAAAAAAATTTTTAAGCTGTTTTGTGTGCCTTTTAAAAATCAGGTCCTGGACCGCAGGTTGGACAGCACTGGGGGGGGGTGGGGGGGGGGGGGGGGGGGGGGGGGGGGGGGGGGGCATTTAACAAAATACCAAAAATTTGAGTGTTTTGTTTTTAATTTTTAACTTATGTGTCAACAAATTTTATGTAACAGCTTTTGTTTTAAATTGAACAATTAATGTGGGCTGCAACAACTTTGCAAATACTGTCGTCATGAGGTCTCTGCGATAGTGAGGTTGAAAACCGCATCACTAATTATTAATGTATGAAATTGGAATGTTTTCAAAATTGTAATCCT